ACACACACCCTCCCCACCTCTCTAACTGGCTCAATCCTGTACATTCATTTGATATAAGCTTGAATGTCATTTCTTCTGAGAAGTCTTTCCTGAACCCTCAATTTTAGATTGACTCTCCTACTGTGTGTCGCCATAGTAGCAGTAATAGTTTCCTGTGGCTGCTATAACAAATTACCACAAACTGAGTGGCCTAAAACAACAGCATTACCTGACATATATGGTGCTCAACACAGTTTTGTTTGATGAGTGGATGCATGGGTCACCTGCTATCTCTCTCTGTTCTTGGATTTGGCCCTAATGTTGGGAAGCCACTTGTGGTGCACGGTTTCTAGAAATCAGAATGTGTGACTCTTTTCTTGGTGAGCCCCTTTCATTTTCTGACTGCTGTGGACTTTCCCTTGCTCAGCAGAACTTCTTTCCTGGAGGGAGGAGTGTATGGTGGTCAGGGTGTGGAAGGTTTTATTAGAAGGCAAGACTTTTATATTGCTGGGGTAGAAAGGGGAAATCTTTACCAAATTCCCAACACTGTGTTGAGGTGGGGCGGGGAGGCCATGCGCAGTTACCCAGATTGCCTCTCTCACCACCACTCTTGAGGGGGTGAGGGGAGAGGGTGGGCGAAGACTATTACTGTTGGGAAAGGAAATGGAGATAAATATACATGCACTGACTATGCATTGCCTCTCCTAGAAGTTCTTAGAATGTTTCTTTCTAATTCTTGCTGTTTTTCTTAAGATGAAGACTCACAAGTGCACTCATAGTATTTCTAATTTCCCCACTCACTGACCAACAGTATATGTCCGCAAGAACTGAAGTGCCCCTTATTTGACCATCTGTGTATGATTCCTTCATTCAACAAATGTTTATTGGGGCCTCCTGTGTTCAAGTTCTGGGCCATGGGCTTAGGATGCAAATGTATACAATAGTCTGCCTTCTCGAGGAACCCACATGCTGGCTGGGAAGAAAACCCCATCAATTTAAAGATGTGTTATATTGCGGTAGGTGCTATGACAGACAGGTACATGCAGTGTGTCAGGAACCCAGAGGAACCCAGACCTTTTATGTTATTGGGAAGCTTGCACACTGCTGTCTTAATTAAGCGGTTGTATCATCTCAAAGGCTTTTAATCACATCTTGAAATATATTCCCTGTATTATTTTCTACATTATTTTTTAGTTCCCTGGGAGGCAATGGGACCTAAAGGTTAAGAGAAGGGGGCCTGGCCTGGCCGGGCATGGCTCAGTGGTTGAGCAGGGATCTAGGATCCAGAAGATCGCAGTTTGATTCCTGGTCAGGGCACACGCCCAGGTGCAGGCTTCATCCTCAGTTGGGGGCGTGCAAGAGGCAGCCGATCAATGACTCTCTCATCATTGATGTTTCTCTCTCTCTCCCTTTCCCTTCCTCTCTCTGAAATCAATAAAGATATATTTAAAAAAACAACCCCCCCCAAAAAAAAAAACAGAGAACGGGGCCTGGAGGTAGGTAGACCCGGATTTCAAATCTGGGCTTGTGCCTTACCTTCCAGCTGGGGGACTTAGGGGAGTCACTTGCTCTCCCACACCCATTAAGGAGTGTTCAGGTGCCGGGATGACATACAAGGGGCACGGCACACTTAGCATGGTGCCTGGCATGCTGTAGAAGTAGATGCTCAATTATATCTTTCCCCAGGTGATTGTGGCTTTTTGTATTGGTGGTGGTGGTGAAAGAAACTTTTTATATTAAGCTTCAAGAACTCACAGAGACTTAGTTGCTGATTTTTTCTTAAAAGGTTTTTACTGGTATAAAAACAATTTAAACATTATATAAATACATTATAAATATTTCTTTTAAAAACATGTATAAGTTAGCAATTTATTTGAGGTAAGCCTACACATTCCAAGAAATGACCTGGCTCTGAAATGAGGGTTTTCAGGCAGTATAACCATCTTATGTTAGTTTTTTCAAAATGAACACACAAAATAGTTCAAGTGGCACTTCATAAAAATATAAATATCACTTGTATAAATTAACTCAATATCACATATTTAAATATCAATAAATTAAAAATAATTAAAATAGTGTACTATCGCTCATACTTTTAGTTCTTCACAGAGAACAACATAAGTTAGTGCCCAGTGGACAGCTTTCTGGCCAGAGAAAGGACTGTCCGTGAGCTGGACTGTCTCGGACGCCCGGCTACATCCGGATGGCCCTCTGGGTGAACTGCAGGAAGTCCTCGAAGCTCCGCAGGATGAGGTGAATGGTCGTGGTCTTGAGCCACTCTTTCTGCGACTGCATCTCCTTCAGCAGGCCGGCATTTGTGGTTGGGTGAGGGATGGTTTCTTCGACTGGATTATTCATCTGAAAGGCAAAAAAACCAAAAAGAATTGCTTAACTATTGAAGAAATCCTTCTCAGTGGAGGGATGCTCAAATTTGGGGTGAAGGAGACTAATCGGGGCCATCTGCCCTGACTTGCCCAGATAGGGTGAGGGGCTTTTCCTCTGAGCCCACCCTTTCATAGCAACTGAATTCTAAGCATCCCCTTGCTCTGTCTCCTTTAGATCATAAGCATTCCTAGGGCAGCCACAGTATCTTACTTGTCCTCTGTGCCTGGCACATAGTTGGAATTCAATAGAGAAATGAAGAACCTGTAGTTAGAGGCATTTCCATGGGTTTTTGAGTGGCCTCTGGCTCTAATATTTTCCTCCAGTTTCTCTCTCACCCATCTATTCAGCATCTATTGAGAGTCCACTGATCTAGTGGTGCAGGAGGACTGGGACACTGCTTCCCAGGGACCCCCTGACATGGGACACCTCCAAGAGTGTCAAGTCCTGAGCACTGCAGCATTGGCATCACCTGGAGGTTGTTAGAAATGCACATCTCAGGCCTCACCCCATACCTGCTGAACAGAAATCTGCACTGGAACTAGACCCCCAGGGCATTCATGAGCACATTAAAGTGGGAGATGCCCCAGTTTAAGGCAAACAGCTGGAAAAGACAGAGGCGGGATCAGCATCCACGGGCTTTTCCATCCAGGACCCTTCTCGCCAAGCTTTGTTTGGCTCATCCATGCACCGAGCCATCAAGCCTCTATTGTGTGGCATTTGAATGGCCAGCTGGCAGTAATGAAGACCTTATACCTGTTCTTCCAGCCTTTAGCCATGTCTCTGCCTTAACTCCTCTGGCAAAAAGTCAGGAAAAGCAGTCGAGACTGCTATAATGACAAGAATGTCACTTGGCGATAGTTAAAATATTAAAATAATGTTTGTGCTCTGTTCTTTGTTGTTATGGACCACTGAGCAGGGTTGTATGCTTCCTTCTGCCTCTACGGATACTCTCTTCTTTCTTAAGCTATTAGACGTTTATGTTAAAATCCACCTTATTTAACATAGCTTTAAATATAGTTATTGATGTTGTTTGCAGAAGAGAGCCAAAAAAAAAAAAAAAAAGTTTCAACTATTAGAAAATATTCCTCAGATCCTTTCCTTTCCCTGAGGCCATCTCTCTTGAATGGGCTCTGCATTCCCGAGCTGTCTCTGAGACCACCTTCCCCACGCCAAGTGAGGGGCTGAGGCCACACTCACCTTTTGCTTCAGGATCTTGACCAGGGCTTTGGTTCTCATCTTCATGGCCCTGGCATTTTCCTCAAACGTGTCCTGGAGGTACTCCAGGTACACCTGGAACTCCTGAAGACCGGTGGTGAGTCTCGTGAAGCAGGTCTCCTAAGAGGAAAGACGGTGGGGAAATTGGTTATTGCCAGGAAGATATAATCAATTTTAAAAGTTAAAATTGCTATAATTTGACAACTTCTCCCTCTATTATCCCCCCGTCCCCCGAGGAACTTCAAGTACTTCTTAGGCATCATGTTTTGAGACATCAGGTAGCAGCAGCTCTCCTATTTTAAGTATCCGGACAATCAGCGACACCACTTAATCAGCCTGACCCGCAGCCCGACGGATGCTAGAGCGTGGCAAGGGGCCCTTCTCCGATTCTCCCTCTACTGCTCTTCCCTCTGGCTGCACCCCTGCCCCTGTCAATGCTGGGCTAAAACCTTTCATGGAATCATAACCAGAAGTCAGCACAGGTTATCTCACTGCCTGGAAGGAGAAAGGTGTAGGGAATGACCTCAGCAGGCAGGCAAATGCTAAGGGCGGTCAAGCAGGAGAAAGGTCGCTGAGCCACCGCCTCACGTAGGATCAACTAGCTAAACCTGCTGGGGCTTCTCACATTCGGCCGTTGCGGAAATCCCAGTCCCAAGCTCTGACCGTGCCATTCAGAAGCACGCTGCCCTCACAAAGGCTTCGGCTGGCCTCCTCGTGAAAGTCACACGGCGTTCTCTACCTCTGTCGCCGTCTTGGTGGCCTGCCTGGTCCGTGTGCCCACAGACCCCGCATGCGAGGTGGAGAGCCTAGAGGTGGCTAAGGAAGACCTCACAGTTAGCGCGACGTGTGGGTACCTGATTGAATCCGGAGTGGAAGCACCCATCTTTTTTGGTCAGTTTTGGGAGATTCAGGTTGTTTTCTGTCAGTACTTCCTTGCTGTTTTTACACGATTCGTGGTTGTCACACATCTGGGAAGAAATAGCAGAACTGTTATCACATAAGTGCCCCTAACACAAACACCACTAGGGGGCCCATTCGTGTTCCACCATGGCCAGGATGTTCTCGTAAGGAAAATGAAGTTACAAGCCATTAGCATCCAGGCAAGCAAGATCTAGGGGTGGGTGGGCACACCTGGGTTCAATTCCAGGCTCACCTGTGACTTCAGGCTTGCTATCTATCCCGAGTCTCAGTGCCCCTCTCTAAAAACATCTTATAAGTTTGTTGTGAGGATGAGACATAATATTTATAAAAAGTGCCTGGCACATAGTAGGTACTTAATAAATTTTGATGATAATTGGGTGAATATAATTCGAGCCATAGAAATATTCCAGTTGGAAGGACCTGTGAGATCATCTAGTCCGACCTCATAGTTTTACAGGTGGAGCCTAGAGGTGGTAGGAAATTTGCCCAAGATCACAAAGCTGGTCCGGCAGAACCAGAACTAGATTTGGGCCACCCAAATCCCCTTTCCTGTGTTCTGTCCTTTCTACAAAACAGAGCCAAACTTTCCTTGCATTTGAAGCTTGGGAGCTGCTATAACCTACCTATGATTTTGCCCCTTCGGTGGGCTCTCAGGTTTGCATTTTATAAGCTGGAATGACTTTGAGGAGTCTCTAACGACCGAGCTTGTCTAACCTAAAAGTACTGTGACTGTCCTGAAAAGCTGAACGTTCATTTCAGGGGCCACAAAGTCCAAGGGGCACAAAAAAAGATAAGACAGACCTTATTTTTTGGTTAGGGTCAAGGGAGTCCTAGGAAACAGTGACCCTCAGCTCATGTCAAGTATGGAGCTGGGAATGAGCCAGGGAGCATGGATACCTGCTCCATTCTGTCCTTTCCAGGAGGGAAAGAGATTCCCTGAGGCCAGCAGCAGAGGAGAAATACAGAAGACGGTCTGCTTCTTTGGCCTCAAATCTAAACTGCCCCAGAAACACCCAGCAAAGACCTCCCAATACAGGAGCCCCTGTCCCCACCCAGGGAGCAAGGAGAGCAACGTCCACACAGGCCTTCCGACACCCTCCATTGAGCTTACCCACCTTGTTTTTAACCTCCAAGATTTCCAGGAGGATGGGCTTAATGAGGTTTTCAATTTGCTCTGAAGAGGTGAGTGGTGGTCTAATTGAGGCGGTGTCCTCTTTGGAATCTTCTCCCAGGGGAAGCGGGGTGGGGAAAGCAGTAGCCGTGACCAGGAGCAGCCCCAGGGAGAAGGCCACTGGACTGAAGGTGCCTGTGCCGGAGGGAAGGCAGAGCAGCAGTGAGCAGGCTGCACAGCTGGGGAAGCTGTGGCCGGCTGCTGGCCGCCCGCCAGCCCCAGGGCGCACCCCCTCTCCCCAGGCGCTCTCGCCGCTGCTCCCAGCCTAGGGATTTCCTTCACTTACTTGTGGGGAGAGAGTTCATAGCTGGGTTCCTCGAGGGAGATGGAGCTCTCTTTTCTTCCTGGTGGGCTCGAGGACAGAATGAGCCTCAGACATCCTCAGTCTCATATTTATTGGGGGCTGAGACTCTAATATTGAGACTCATGGGAAAATCCCACATTTGATAAATCTTTGTTGGAGGGTGGGGGTGGGGCCCGAGTGGGTGGGGCTGATTGGAAACCTTATTAAGATTGTGCAATGTGACGTCCTTTAGCATCATAGGAATCAAAACCGGGGGGAAATGTGCCACTTAGGTCATTACCAAGGAGCCTAAGAAGCAGGATCACTCTTCCTCTACTTTCTTTCTTTTTTTTTTTTTT